ATTCGCGACTTCTTGGACTTGGACCTGGCAGCCAGAGGTTCCGGGCACCGTCAATGTCAACCGAGCAACACCAACATGCCAGGTTGTAGCTGTGTGCGTCGCACGTCAACGGCTCTATGCGCCAGACGGGATCTCGTATATCGCCTGCGGTTCCGAGGGACTAGACCTGCGCCGAAGCAATTGGTGAGGGATCGACGTCGTTGTGATTATTCAGGCTCGGGGTCCCTATGTCCTCGATGTGGTAGTAGGTAAATAGGAGCAAGGAGGGGAGGCGAGGGCCAGAGAAGGGAAATCGGAAAGATTGTTCAACCCAAGGTCCTGCTCAAGAACGATGGCCATGATAAGTTTGGACAGCGGATCGGCGGGCACTGGCTACCGAGGTGGATGAGCAGGTTGTCGGGGGGGGGTGCCTGGGGATTGAGAGGAGTGCTAGAGCCCAGAAGATGGGTCAGCGCTGGGGAGGGGGGGCCCTACAAGGAGTGAAGGGGGGCCTGTTATCCTGGCGAAACCCCACTGAAGGGAGGGGCTATGCAGGCTGTTAGCGGGCGGCGGGCCAACCTGCAGAGAACGTGGGCCCGCGACTGCGCCGAGCAGCGCTCCAAGAGGCCCCTAGGAGATATCCACTACACTGGTGGTTGGTCGTGGTTAGGCTGTCCTACCTACATGTACCTGTTCAGAGGCCCCCCCACCCATCCATAATAGTCAGCTCACTAAAACAAGCAGGTAGGGGAGGCGTCTACCACGATCGAATGCAGACTCTGTCTGAAAAATTTCCCCCTTCCTCTGCCTCTTTCCTCAAAGCCGACGGTAGAGTCGGCCTCGATCGAGACCCTCGAATCGGAGGATCCCCTTCCTTCCATCCTCAGTGTACAACCTCGTCACTATCGAGACAGGGGTTTTCAGTCTCTCTCTCTCTCTCGCTTTCTCTCGTTGCGTTGCGTCGCCCCGATCACGAACCCCCGAATACGACTGAGTCAGACCAGATCTCTGGTGGAAACCTCCCAAGTTCCATTGCGGGATCAGACATGGCGACCGACTCAGATTTGCGTACCAATAAATTGTCCAGTCAGCTTGTATGCAGTGTAGTGCAGTGTAACCATCCGCAGGCCCGCTTGGCGCACACACGCACTCTCTCTCTCTCTCTCTCTCTGTCTTGTCGTGACATTCCACATCGAGATGAGGCCGACGACGATACTCGCTCGCCTCGCCTTCATGGGCCATGGCGGAGCCAAGAACGACGCGGTATGCAGGTCAATCAAGACGCCTGGACACGAAGCCAAGGCCCACACCACGCGCGCCGAACAGGGCCGCCGCGGTAACTCGGCTTCCTCCTGACCCTGCAGCGACTTGCAGCGCCGCGGTGCCGCAGCGCCGCACACCTTCAGCTTGGCCCGATCATCTCTTGCAGAATCGCCAGTAACCGAAATGATTGGTTCGGCAGCATTCTTGCTCTTGCTTTCCTGCGTCCCCTGCGCGGTCTGCATGCCCTCCTTCGCTTTCGTGTGCCCCATCTGCCGTTGCCTTATCGGCCCAGCAGTACCAAGGGCAGAAAAAGCACGCTGGGGCCTGGAAGCAGCCGAGCCCGTCTAGGCCACTACGGATTGACTTTTGGCTAGCGAGCCACCAGGCACCTGCCAGTGTCTTTTGGCTTTCACACCTAGCGAGAGAGGTGCCGACCTTGGCCTCGTCCTCCGATCGATGGCTGTTGGGGCCGCAAGAGAAAAGGCTTCGCAGCAAAACGGAAACAAATGCGCGAAACAACTCAGCCACGCGCTGCTATGACGATCATAAAATCCATAACCGCACATGATCTCTTTCCTGCCGGGGATTGGCGCTGGCGCGACACTGACGTCGTATCGCGCGTCGACTCAGGTGTGAGACTTGCAGTGCACGTTACAGATTCGATGAGAGATGGCCAGCCGCACGCCACAGAGAGAGAGAGAGAGAGAGATACCTCAGTACAGGATTGCTTGCGTTCTGGCCGTGGGTCGACTCAGACCCAGCCTGTCAGTCTCGTTTGTCAGTCATCCTCTGCATGGCGAGACAGACTCACCTCGCCCGAATTAGGCCTGGCTGGCCTCGCATTAGTGTGCTCTGCTCTGTATCCGTCAACCGCTCCCGTTGGCCCTGAACTCAGGCTCAAAGCATCAAGTGGAGTGTGCTAGAAATAAGGCCCGCTTTATCAACTCTCCAAGTGCGAGCCCGTCACACCCTGACCGTCTCCCCGACGCAGCATCATCTCAGACAGGCGTGGATGGACGGAACTGGCTGACTGTCGGACGGCTTGACCAGAAGCTCCGCACGAGGTAGCCATCCTTCACTCTGAGACTCTAAGGCTCTAGGACTGCACGTCCCAAGCATATTGGGCAGCTGGTCATCAGAACCCCTGCAACCGAACGGCCCGTAGAAAGCTTTTTCTTCTCATCCGCGTCGTTGTCACATCCGCCAGTCGCAATCTACGGGTCCTCGTCGTCATGGGCCCCGGACCTGAGCCGTCGGCCGAGAAGGCACGCGATGGTCCGCCCCTCGAGGCCGTCCGGAGCGTCGACGCCGTCATTCTACAGAGTCAGTGTCGCCGTCGACCAGCAAACCGAGAATTCCCCCGCTCACCCGCCGCCGGCCATCAGACCTACCCGCCGATACCACCGTCAACAGTGTTGTTCCTCATGGCATGAGCCATTGGACCCAGACCGCCAGGCTTGTAGCAGAGTGTCACGGCCGCCCAGTGCAGTATTTCCTGAAGGTCGTATTGCCAGGCCCCGCCCTGCCTCTTGCCTCCTCCTGGGGCCTGTGGCATCTCAGACCTCCTCGCTGATCGTGCTGCAGACGGTCCGTGGCGACCGGGGACGCAAGGTCGTATCCGGCGAGTACCGCTCCATGACTGCCATTCATGTCGTGATGCCAAGTCTAGTACCCAAGCCCATCGCTTGGGGCTCCTGCGAAGACGAGCCCGACCTTCACTTCTTCCTCTCCGAGTTCAGGTCCATGACCGAAGGACTCCCCGCCATCGACGCCTTCTCACAGCGGGTGGCGCAGCTACATCGCAGCGCGACATCCCCCGACGGTCGTTTCGGCTTCTTCGAGCCCACGTGCCATGGCCATACGCCCATCGATCACGGCTGGCACGAGACGTGGGAGGCGTATTTTGCCAGCACCACGCGACGCCTTTTCCATTGGGAGCAGGCCGCCCAGGGCCCAAACCATGACATCCTCAATCTCATGGGGCCGTTCTTCTCCAACGTCATACCGCGCCTGCTGCGGCCCCTCGAGACGGACGGTCGGTCCATCACGCCGTCTCTGATCCACGGTGACCTGTGGCACGGCAACGTCGCCACAGATGCTGACACGCAGGAACCCGTTATATTTGATGCCGCTTCGTCGTACGCACATAATGAGTGTAAGCCACCTGCACCTTGTCTGCTCGGCCTCAGTCTGTCTCTGACAACAGGGGGGGGATTTACCCCTTTAAAGATGAGCTGGGTGTCTGGAGGCAGCCCTGGAATGAACTTGGTGCGGCCTATCGTGCGCGGTATCACGAGATTTTCCCACCATCGTCGCCTGTAGAAGATTGTGACGACCGAAACGCCTTGTACGCCACGCGGGTCCATATTCTTGATTCGATCCTGTACAGGGACGATGACGAGTACCGCAAGATGTGTGTTCCACCCGAGACATGGTGAGAGAGAACGTGTGTGCTGATCAGTCCTGAACCAAGGCTCATTGCATCTATGCGGAGCCTTGTGGAGAAGTTTCCGGGGGGGTATGAAGAATGGAAAGGCAAACAGGTTTGATGTCTACGGTACGGCCCTGCGTGTTTGACAAGATGTGAACGGAGACCGCGTACGTGTGATGCAATGAAGATGCACTGGCAAGATTTGTTGATCAGCTCTGGATATGGCCAGGGTTGGGCAGCGTCGTCATCTGGAGACATGCCTCTTGGCTGGATTGAATTATGTTGCATCTCTGAAGTGAACGTGTCCCTCATGATGGAAAGGCTTCCAGAACATCAAATCCTGATGCCCCGTGGAGGAGAGAAGGAGGAGACGACCCGAAGAATGCATAAGGAGATAGAAGGCTGTCAATCCAGTATATGCATAAAAACGATGGACCCTCAAGTCTTTCCTCATCATTGGCCAATAACAGCAGCAAACCTGCACAATTGAACCTCTTTTTTTGCGGGGTCCCGAATTTTTTTCCTACCAGGCCCAAAGCTGCGAAGGCCTCGAAACGGAAAACCTTCGTCAGGAAGCGGAAAGCCGGACTACTCATCCCCCTCCTCCTTCTCTTCCTGCCGCCGCAAATCAAAACGCCATGGCCGCGGGCAGCGTTTCCTCCTCCATGACATCGACCTCGAATACGCTCACCTTTGCCCCCGGGATCGCCGCACACATGCCGCAGC